CCGCAGGTGTGCGGCGGTCCACAGTTGTGCGGCGGTCCACAGGTGTGCGGCGGTCCACAGGTGTCCGGCGGTCCACAGGTGTCCGGCGGTCCGCAGGTGTGCGGCGGTCCACAGGTGTGCGGCGGTCCGCAGGTGTCCGGCGGTCCGCAGGTGTGCGGCGGTCCGCAGGTGTGCGGCGGTCCACAGTTGTGCGGCGGTCCACAGGTGTCCGGCGGTCCACAGGTGTCCGGCGGTCCGCAGGTGTCCGCCGTCGCCTCTACTTCTTATCCTCGCATTGGAACTCCTGGCAGGCGCGACTCGGATAGAAAAGGTTATTAAAGGAATTAATGTTGCCAATTATGAATTTAAATTGAACCTATTTGCTGATGATATTTTAATAACTATAACAAATTTACAAAATCCATCCCAAAACTATTTGAACTAATTGAAGCCTTTGGCTTATATCAGGATTTAAGGTAAACTATATAAATAGTGAAGCTATCCCACTTAACTATACTTTCACACCTTAGAACTGCTGTTTCTCACTGGAAGCCTGAAGGGATGACATAACCTGGAATTAAAATAAAGTTTGCTAAAGAAACCACTTGAATATAAATGATGTTAGTAAAAAAATAAGACCTTAAATGATGGACAATATTAGCCTTTTCACTATGGAGCAGAGACTTTAAAATAATTTCTCTTATTAAAACTGACCTTTATAATCTCATCAATTCCTCTTAAATGTCCTATAAAATGGTTAAAATATATAAATAAACTATTCACAGACTTTATGTGGAGAAATAAGAAACCTAGAATCAGTTATAAGAAATTAATTCAAAGCTGAAATAAAGGTGGAATTGGCTTACTAGATGTTTATTTATATTATATTATGTTTAATTCAATATATCCTTTAAAATGGGAATATAGCAACTTTAGAGAGACTGACAGTTTGGAATGACTCCAAGAAAAAATAGTAAAAGAATAGAACTCAGGGTTTGGTTCAGCCCTGAGGCAACTAATGGTTTAATATCATCTAAATGCTGCATAAATACTTTAACTTCATGGATAATCCTACCTTCCTGTCTCCTACGGTTTAACACGCTTTTTATGGCAGGTAAAACAATTCTAAAGAACAAAGTGTGGCAACAAAACAATATTCTAAATATATCACAATTAATTATAAAAGGAAAAAAAATATTCCTATATAGCCTAAGTGACAGAATGTTTTAATTACTTACAGATTAAATCCATTCTGAAATCCTCACTATCTCAAGAAAACAGCCTGAGAGACAAAAAGGACTTTAAGGATAAATTAAAACATGCTGCTGTGAACAGAAGCACCGTGTCAAAAATATACAGATTATTGTTTAAAACTGAAGCAGACCATAATATGTAACAAAAACCAATGTGTAAAAGACATTGCTGTGCCCATTTCTGACGCCCAGTGCAAAGCAGCACTGCTAAAAAACACTAAAATGTCCAAATATAAAATCATACAGCTTAAAATAACAAATGGAGCATAAATTACACCTGCTGCCGTGTGCTGGCCTGGCTGTGGGTCCGAGGGCAGACTGCCAGGCGCGGATTCAGGCGGGGGGGGGGGGGGGCACCCCTGACTGCTGCATGTGCTTTAGACGTGTCCTCCTGTCCAAACATTCTGGAGGAACATAACTGACACAGCGTCTCATCTACTAGATATAGAAATATCACTTTTCCTCTGGATTGTCTGCTTACATCACAGAATGTGGACTATATCATATCACTGGGCCTTTAGCAGCCAAACGTATTATACTGCTGAACTGGAAGGAAAGGAACTAGAATCGTTTTGATGTCCAGAATTGGAACAAAGACTTTTTGGGATTGGTTGCTATGCAACGGGCCGCCATGATCCTTGATAATCAACCAGATTCCAGAGCGTCTGGACCTTCGCCAACACTGGAAATATATTTATAAAAACATAAACAATAACCACCTGGTAGTGTCCTGATAATTGACCCCCCCCCCCTTAGATAAATATATATATATATATATATATATATATATATATATATATATATATATATATATATGTGTGTGTGTGTATGTCTTTGTAGTTATATGTATATGTGTAAACAAGTGTATATTTATAATTAAAAAAATTTAAAAAAGAGCCAATGGTGGGGGGGTGGATGCTTGTCAGTTTTCCTGGCTGGACATTAAACGTGTTCCATGCATATCAGATGAACCCACTGTGGATTAGGAGCTTTTTCTTTAGATGATTAATTTGAAAAACAAAGGAATCGCTCCTAAAGTTCTTGGGTTAGAAAGAATGTCTGTCAAACCTGTTTGGACTTAACTTTCCATCAAAAGTCAAAACTTAGTGTTAAAAGTAGATTTGATCAGATTATAAAATGAAATAAAAAATGGATTCCATGGCGGGATTGAAGAGCAGTGAGACGCCGTAGAAGTGGAACGTCCAGGAACGTAATCCTCGCCTTTTGCTAACCCAAATGGAAAAGATCATAACTAAGCAACTGTTCATGTTAGATACGTCATTTGAAAGTGAACACCTTCAGGTTTCTGAAAATATAAATCAAAATAGTGACTAAAGCACGGCCTAAACTGCATCAGGTCAAACATGACTCAGCGGTTTTCTTCTCGAAGATAACAGGTCTTTTTTATGAATAGGAGCAACAAAGACATTTTTGAAAATAGACGTGTGTCTAATTTAATTATTTCTGCATCATGTCAGCCACCACTGCAGAAATGTTCATACGGAGAAAACTCATTTCAGCCGCTTGGATCCAGGATCTGGTTCTTTCGGTCATGACCATAGATGAGGGTAGAAACGTAGATCCACCGGTAAATCCAGAGCTTTGCTTTTTGGCTCAGCTCTCTCTGAACCACCACAGACCGGTACAGCGCCCGCTTCCCAGCAGATGCCGCAACAATCCGCCCATCGTCCTCCCGCTCCATCTGCCCCTCATTAATAAACAAGATCCCAACATCCTCCACTAGGGGCAGCACATCCTCCCCAACCCAGAGAAGGCACTCTAATCTTTCCCGGCTCCAGACCAGGGTCTCTGATTTGGAGGCACTGATCTTCATCCCGGCTGCTTCACACTCGGCTGTGAGCCCATTGGAGGGGGACCCATGTTTCCTCATCGGGCTGAAACATGGGTCCCCCTTCCTATCCAGGCCTTGCTCCTGAGTGGGGCCCCGGTGAGCCGCGTCTGGGCAAGGGAACACTATGTCCATTTCTTGTATTCATCATAAGGGTGTTTGGGCTGCTCTTTGTCTGGCCCCTCACCTAGGACCTGTCTGCCTTGGGGGACCCTACCAGGGGGCATCAAGCCCCCAGAGAGCATAGCTCCTGAGGTCATTGGGACACTGCAAACCCTCCACCACGATAAGGTGGCAGCCCAGGGAGAGGGAAAGCAAAATAGATTTTACATTTATAAATTACAGCATGTTGTCTGACGGCAGTGTCTAACTTCCCTTGCTCCTCTTCTCCTGTTAATACGGTAAAGCCCTGGGGA